AAGGGGATAAGTTCCCCCTGAGGGGGTATCTTGTGCTACAATGGTATCCCAGCGGGCACTCCAGTAAGCTGCCTGAAGTGCAGCCCCTATCTGAATCCCACCGTTCAAAGTTAAGCACGAGCGTGAGTTGAGGTACGTGGCCTAGGTACCTTTCAAGTGTGTATGGTTAGCGTGTAGTGTCAAGGTGTGGTCAACCTCCATCTCGCCCCAAGGTGCATGTGACCTGCTTAGACAAGAGCAATCCATATTTACCATAAAAACAATTATAAAGCATGGCAAAACAGTTCTTAACGAAACAGTTATTCATCAATCCCTCTGTTTTCCCTTCTCCATTGTTCCCTGTCCATGCCTAGTCCCCAAGTGTCGCCCCTCTTCCCAGTTTTTCCCCACCTCCCCCGCCTTCATTTCTCGAATTTACTTCCCTTTTCGTTGTCCCCATGGCCTAAATCTCATTCCCTCTTTCTGTGTACGGGTTATCTGTCCTATCTCTCCTCCCCTGGTGCTGTAGTGTCTCCATTTGGGGTTGCCTATGTGGTTGCAGGGTTTTTTTTTTTTAAAAAGGACATGAGCCCCAAATTACCCATATAGATTCCTGTTGTGCCGTATTTCTAATCCAATAAAATAAAACGTGATGGTGAGTATTACAGAGCTATAAAAAAAAGGGGAACGGTAAGTGGGAACAAAAGTGCTTAAAGTCGTGCAGGCTAGCCACTCCAAATTAGGGATCATTCCCAATCCCAAACAATACAATCCAGCAAATTAGTATAGTTAAAAAACATATACCACCGGGGGCGCCACAATCACACACGTGCAATTATATTTACCAAATGGTAGACACAAGGTATCATGTAAAGAGATAAAAATGGTACAGTATATGGTGAAGTGTTTAATGATACAAATACAAATAATAAAAAAGATAAAAAATACACTCACAAAAGTATTGGCACAATAGGGACATATGTCTAAATTGTGCTATAAAAGCTTGTCAGCTCCTTCCTGGGCTAAATACCCTTCATACAGTGGATCCAATTCTCCAGACTCAATAGTGGTCAGTCCTTGTTTAGCTGGAGTCCAAATCTGTCCAATACACATCTGTAGGGGCGTTAATATATTTCAAGCTGCTCGACGCGTTTCGTCTCACCGACTTTTTCAAGAGCTGTACATAACTTCGTTCTTCCGGCTTTTTAAATTCTGTGTTTCGCGCGTTCTTTTCATTACGCGCATGCGCATCGCGGCTGGTTTGTCCATACACATAGCCGCGCATGGCGTGTGTTCCACCTTGGAACGCAAACAACTTTATTAACAATTTGTGCCGGAACGCACTTCCGTATTAGACCACCGGGTCCTACGGAATAGTGTAAAAGCACTCAAGCACTGTTGCATATAAGTAATTATTTCAGTTCACATTTATAATCATCATTATATATGGCAAAAAACAACTATTTAAAAATTCTCAAATGTGTATCCAATATATTATATTATAGATCAAAGGTGCAGATAACATTTGAAGATACAGAACTCATTATGTATAACTAGAAACAGTTAAAGTATATAACCCATCCATTGCATTGTACATCTCTAGTGCAAATTACATTTTAAAATATGGAAATATAAATCTCTGAAACAAAAGATAATGGTGTATATTAATAAACTCATATACAAAAAATACAATTCCAATTTTAACCGTATATGATCATCATTTTCAAGTTTTTAAGAGGTATGGCAAGGGCACCATCGGATTCTTTTAAAATATATTAAAAAAAGAAAAAAAAAAGGAAAACTGCTATTAAAAGGAATAGATTCTACCTATCTAAAAATTGGCCATTAAAAATTAAAAATTAAAAATTAAGGTTAAAAAACAAGGGTTAAAAACAAAATACATTAAATCAACCCTATATCAATCCATAAAAACGAATACATCTAGATCTACATTTAACCCTTTTGGAGATGTTGTTTTAAGTCTGTAGATCCACTCAGTTTCTTTCATAGCCAGCGCTTTTTCTATATCTCCCCCTCTCCAGTGTGGGGTTATAGTGTCTATCCCTATGCATCTAAAGTCTTGGAAACTAAAATCAGTACAATTTATACAGTGTCTAGGGACACTGTGCTTTATATTTCCTCTTTTTATCCCATTAAAATGTTCCAAAATCCTGATGTGTAATTTTCTTATTGTGCGACCTACGTATTGTATACCACATTTACACTCTAGTAAGTAGATTACATTTTTTGTTTGACAGTTTATAAAGTGCTTTATTTTAAAAACTTCTTTTGTGGCAGTGCATATAAATTCTGTTGTTTTTTGTTTTTGAAACTTACATGTACTACACTGTCCACATTAAAAAAAAACTTTTGGTTTTTCTTTAAGAAAATTATTACCTAAAGGTTCTATTTTCTCCGAGGTATCTCTCCGTGGTAAAGCGCTGGGAGCTAAAATTGATTTAAAATTCTGAGTTTTTTTATAGATGATCTGGGGTTTACTTGGTAAAATATTAGTTAAAAATTGATCCTGTTTTAAAATAGGCCAAATTTTTTGATAATTTTCTCAATGGTATATGCCTTACTATTATATCTAGTTAGAAACGAAATGTTATAGTCTTTGTTATCTTTCTTATATACCTTTTTATTTTTTAAAAGTTCTACTCTGTCTTTATTTTCTACTTGTTTTTCTGAATCTATCAGCAATTTTTGAGGATAATGTCTTTTCTCAAATTTCTTATTTAGTACTTTGACCTGTTCTTTAAAGTCATTTTTATTGGTACAGTTTCTGAGGAGTCTTGTTTGTTGTCCTTTTGGTATATTATTAAGCCAAGTAGGATGGTGGCAGCTAGAGTACTCTATAAAGCTGTTCCCATCTGTTGGTTTAAAATATGTTTTATTGCAAACGACTCCCGAAGAAACAAAAAAAGAAAGATCTAAAAAGTTGATATTTTCAGTGTGGGTTTCCGCTGTAAACCTCAACCCATGGGTGTTGACATTAATATATGATAGGAATTCTTCTAAACGTGGTCTCTCTCCCTCCCAAATAATAAGAACGTCGTCGATATATCTTTTCCAGAGCACCAGGTTCGCACCGTAGGGATTATTATCCCAAATGTTTTTGGCTTCCCAATCTGCTACAAATATATTGGCGTTGCTCGGTGCAAACCTGGTGCCCATGTCAGTTCCACATGTCTGAAGGTAATATTTACCTTCAAACCAAAAAAAAATTGTGGAAAAGAATAAAACGAATAATATTTAAAATCAAAGTGGCTTGTGCTTCATGCATGTTTTCATCCTTTGCTAAGGTCTCTTTAATGGCTCTAATTCCTTTTTCATGGTCTATTGACGTGTATAAAGATGCTACGTCTACCGTGGCCCAGATGTAGTTGTCTTTCCACGTTAGGCCTTCCACATCTGTAATGATCTGACTTGAATCTTTAATATAGGAACGAGTCATTGGGACATACTTTTGTAGGAAATGATCTACATATTCTGAGACATTACTCGTCAACGATCCAATGCCACTAATTATGGGTCTACCTGGGGGGTTAGTGAGGGACTTATGAATTTTTGGTAGATAATAGAATATAGCCATTTTGGGAGATTTAATAAAAAGATATTCAAACTCGTCTTTAGTAATGATATTTTCATTTTGTCCTTCCAACAGCATTTTAAAAAGTTCCTTTTTATATGCGTCCATTGGATTAGATTTTAAGACTATATATGTATCCTTATCATTTAGAATTCTAGACACTTCCTTCATATAATCCTCACGATTTAGGATAACTATACCACCTCCCTTATCTGCTTGTTTTATAACAAGCTCATAGTTCTCTTTAAGTTGTTTTAGGGCAATTTTTTCTTTTTTGGTAAGGTTATCTTTTCCTTTGTCTTTTGTTAAATTCTCAAATTCTTTTAAAATCATATCACTAAAAACCGGAATAAAATCTCCTTTTTCCCAAGTTGTTTGCATTCAAGGTGGAACACACGCGCATGCGCGGCTATGTGTATGGACAAACCAGCCGCGATGCGCATGCGCGTAATGAAAAGAACGCGCGAAACACAGAATTTAAAAAGCCGGAAGAACGAAGTTATGTACAGCTCTTGAAAAAGTCGGTGAGACGAAACGCGTTGAGCAGCTTGAAATATATTAACGCCCCTACAGATGTGTATTGGACAGATTTGGACTCCAGCTAAACAAGGACTGACCACTATTGAGTCTGGAGAATTGGATCCACGGTATGAAGGGTATTTAGCCCAGGAAGGGGCTGACAAGCTTTTATAGCACAATTTAGACATATGTCCCTATTGTGCCAATACTTTTGTGAGTGTATTTTTTATCTTTTTTATTATTTGTATTTGTATCATTAAATACTTCACCATATACTATACCATTTTTATCTCTTTACATGATACCTTGTGTCTACCATTTGGTAAATATAATTGCACGTGTGTGATTGTGGCGCCCCCGGTGGTATATGTTTTTTAACTATACTAATTTGCTGGATTACAGAGCTATAAGACTTTCAAAAAATCCCCGGGGCCTAAATCGCTTTCCTTCCTTCTGTGTACGTGCTCACTATTCTATCTCTCCCCCCCCCGGGTGTTGTTGTGTCACCATTAGGGTTGCCTGTGTGCATGTATGAGCATTTGGTAGCCTCCCTCTCATCACCCAGTTTCCTCCAAGTAGGGGGAGGTAAATAAAGAAGTGTAGTGTGCTACGGGGTTATGGGGTGTGCTATAGTGGCTGTGGGTTGTGTCGGTGGTGACCCTGCTGTGTCCCGATAGTAGCAATAGAGTACATAGTAACCCCAAGTGTACAATAATAAAACTTTTCTTTGGGGCAATAAGGTTATAAACAGTCTCCGTTTTTTTTTTTTTGTAACATGACTTCACAAAAGGTATATCCTCCCTGCCGCTTGTTCCCGTTTTCAGTGTACCAAGGGATATTGTACCTTACAAACAGTTCATAAGAAGTCCACCTCCGGCTCCGTCCCGTCTTATTAGAAGATGCATAGTGCTCAGCGCATGGGGAGTGCGTCTTGGGGGTGTTCAGCGTGAGGTGGCACGTCTTCCCAATATCCCTCCACCCCAAGTTGTCCTGCAAATAGCCCACCCTGCTGTATCAAAATAGGGGAGTCTAGGCCTATGAGTCCAGACAGAAAAGGAGATGGCTCCAGTGAGGAGGCAGTCGGGGCTCGAAATAGGGTGCCTCGGGCAGAGATCTTGGAGGTGTGCTCAATCTGCAGGTTCTCCATGTTCCTGTCGTCATCTCGGAGGAGGACCCGACAGAGATCTCCCTCTACGTCTCCGTGGTTCCCGCTGGGGTCGAGGCAGTATTCCCAATTCCTCCAATAGTCGTGGTACTTCATCAGGGCTTCTGGCTGAGGACCATGCCTCTTGATGTCGGGTGAGTAGGGTGAATGGGTATCCCCACTTGTAGGGGATATTACGTTCTCGGAGCACTGCGGTGACCGGACGGAGCGCACTCCTCGCATCCAGGGTTATCGAAGATAGGTCGTCGTATAAGGAGACCTGGACACCCATGTAGGGCCATGAGGGTTTTTCTCTGGTCTTGCACATTATTGCTTCCTTATGCTTGCATGAGTGTAGGCAGCATATTAAGTCCCTTGGATCTTCGTCTTGGATTCGGGGTCTCAGGGCCCTATGTGCTCTTTCAAATTAACATGTGGTGGAGCCTCGTTCTGTAGTAAGCTCTTGAACAGGCCGAGAGTACTTCCTCCACCCTCTCTCCGCCGTCCACCTCCGACACTCCTCTGACCTGTATATTGCTCCTGCGGCCCCTATTATCCTCCAGCATGCGTCTCATGTTGAGAAGTAGTTCTCCCTGTCGGGAGATCACCGTGTCTGTCGAAGTGATCCTGGCAGACTGTATTTCGAGTGATTGTTCTAGGGAGTTGATGCAGCCCGTCTGGGCGCCAAACTCCGTGCGGATCCCCGCTATCTCCGCACGGAGGGCATCCTGTATGGTAGTAGTGAGGGTTAGTAGGTCATTCTTGGTGGCCATCTAGGCCGTTATAGAGCGCAGCGCATCCTCTATTTGGTCTAGGACGGACGCGTTAGCGCCTACAATTGAGGCCGGGGATGATGGTGCGGATCGTGACGCCTCGGCCTCGTGGCCCGGGTGTCGGTGAGGTTGCAGGAATTCATCCATCGGGCCTTGTTGGGGTCCCGGTTGTGAACCCCTCAGTGTTTATGGGATGTTCTGTGCATCTGTTTCGACCCATTTGCCGGCTATCGCTTATTTCAGGATGCTTTTTAGGGGCTTGGTGGAGCAGAGCACTTCGTTTAGGCATCCATCTTGTTCAGCGTCCAGGCCACGCCCCCTACATTATTTTAGTTTTTCTTTATTTACTTCTCCCCTCCAACGTAGGCCTGCAAATATTTTTGAGATGGAGGAATTTTTTACTTCTCCTCTCATGGCCTTTTTTTTATACATACTTAATTTTTTATCTTGTTTTTTTTACCCCTATTGGGAAACATTATACTTTTAATTTCTCTCTTGTTAGGGGACTTTCTCCAAGTTTTCTTACCCTTTTATGATGACGTGACTTTAGATGCGGATGGCAGATATTTAATTTGGAAAGGTTCAGTAAATAGTATTGGGTACACTCTGGTAAACCTGTTTTTCCATTTCGGACATTACTTGGTTTGATCATGCCCCCATAATGATGTGTATAGAGGAGTCTTTCCAGTTGAACCCAAACAGACAGTGGAAACTGAGTGATTATTTAGTCACTAAGCTTGAGAATAAAACATTGGCTGACTCAGCGATCAATAATTATTTTAAGGAAAATTCGGCTCTATATTTACAAGACACCTCATTGTGGAATATCCATAAAGCGGTTCTTAGGGGACACTTTATACAACTAGCCTCCTACTTGAAAAAAATTTGGTCTAAAAAATGTTAGAGACTTAGAAAAAGAACTTTATACTTTGAATCAGGCTAATAAAATTGGGCCTTCTTTGCCCCTTGCTGCAAAGATTTCCAATGTTAAAGTTAAAATGAAATCTCTCCAGTTGGAAGGCTCAGCCTTGATGTTGAGGAGACTGAAACAGGTTTTTTATCCTAATGGCAATAGAGCTGTCAGCATTACTGTTTGATCCAGCACGTAGAACTGTACAGCACGGATGACAAATAAGTAACGTATTACCGGTCCTTAGAATGGCCGGATTTAACGTACAAAGAATAGTCAAAAATACTAGCTGAGGTCAGGGAACACAGAAAGGGACACAGCGATGAGGAAAGCCAGGAGTCAGGATACCAGAATATAGAGAAGTCAATAAACAAAGCCAAAGTAAAAAACCAGGTAGAAAACTATAAACAGGAACGCGCTCTCGGACAACCACAAGGGAAACCACGACAGGGCACTGAGCAGGCTGAGAACTGGGCCTAAATACCCCTCCTTTAGTTCTGATAGGCTGTAACCGGCCTTTGACCCCAAAGTCAGTTACCAGGTTTCATTTGCATAATTGCTGCTCAGCATTAACCCTTCTGTGGATTAGGTTGCTGCTCGGCACAACTTTTCCTGTGTGGACAGTAAATGTCATTAATCACTTTTCTCTAAGCGGATGAATACATGACACCAGGTTTCATTTGCACAATTACTGCTCAGCATTAACCCTTCTGTGGATTAGGTTGCTGCTCGGCACAACTTTTCCTGTGTGGACAGTAAATGTCATTAACCACATTTCTATAAGCGGATGAATATGTGACATTACCCCCCACCTGAAGAACGCCCACCGGGCGGACAGGACCAGGCTTGAGAGGAAATTTAGCGTGAAAAGCGCGGATCTTACGGCCCGCATGCAGGTCAGGAGCCGAAACCCAAGAACGATCAGCAGGACCGTAACCTTTCCAAACAACCAAGTACTGTAAAGTGCCCCGAGAAAACCTAGAATCCACGATAGAAGATACCTCATACTCTTCCTGACCACCCACCACCACCGGAGGGGGAGGAACACAAGGAACAGTATATCTATTGCAGACAAGAGGTTTGAGTAAGGACACATGAAAAGTGTTGGGAATCCCTAAAGATGCAGGAAGAGCCAGAGAGTAAGACACTGGATTGATCCTACGAAGCACTCTATAGGGACCAAGGAATCTGGGGGCAAACTTCATGCTAGGGACCTTAAGCTTGATGTTGCGAGATGACAACCAAACCCGGTCCCCCACTTGGTACACCGGGTTGGCACTCCTACGCTTATCAGCAAAATGTTTGAAGCGTTCAGCAGCAGCCCCTAGAGCAGTTTGAACCTTAACCCAGGTATCCCGAATGGAGGCCAGACGCTCATCCAGAGCAGGAATGGCAGTATCAGAAAATACCGCAGGGAGAACCGTAGGATGCCTACCATTATTGACAAAAAATGGACTGTGCCCAGAGGAGTCATGAACAGCATTGTTTCTAGCGAACTCGGCCCACGGGAGTAGTTCGGACCAATTGTCTTGTGTGCTATTAATAAAACAACGCAAATAAACTTCTAATGACTGGTTAGCCCTCTCAGCTGTACCATTGGTCTGTGGATGGTAGGAGGAGGAGAAGGAGAGATCAATCCCCAATTGTTTACTGAACGCCCTCCAGAACCTGGACACAAACTGAGAGCCCCTATCAGACACAATATTGTGGGGGATGCCATGCAAACGGACAATTTCACGTATGAAAATTAGGACCAAATCTTGCGAAGATGGCAACTTCTTGAGAGGAATGAAGTGAGCCATCTTAGAAAATCGGTCTACAACCATGAGAATAGTAGTGAACCCAGCAGAGCTAGGAAGCTCAACAATAAAGTCCATGGATAGGTGGGACCATGGAATCTCAGGAACAGGAAGAGGCTGCAACAGGCCACAAGGAAGTGCATGAGTCACCTTAGAAACTGCACACACAGAACATGCCTGCACATACTCCTTTACATCTTTCCTGAGTGAATCCCACCAAAATGATCTAGTGATCGCGGCAGTGGACTTATTGATGCCAGGGTGTCCAGCAGTTATATTGTCATGGAACACTTTCATGATATTAACCCTTTCACATAGGGGAACGAACAGTTTATCACATGGTTTACCACTGGGCGCCTGAGGCTGGGCCTCCAGTATGGTGCCAAGCAGTGGAGAAGACAGTGAGAGGACAGTAGTAGCAATAATACACTCTGCTGGAATAATAGGAGATGTCATCTGTTCCGGAGCTGACTCATTATCAAATTGCCTGGACAAGGCATCAGCCTTGGTATTTTTAGAACCAGGTCTATAAGTAATGAGAAAGTTAAAACGTGAAAGGAACAGTGACCATCTAGCCTGTCTGGAAGACAAACGTTTGGCATCCCCTATATATGCCAGATTTTTGTGGTCGGTTATGATCAACAGGGGGTCCTTGGAACCCTCCAAAAGATGTCGCCACTCCTTGAGGGCAAGAATAATGGCCAACAGTTCTCTATTGCCAATATCATAGTTGCGCTCAGCAGGAGACATCTTTCTGGAGAAGTAGCCACAAGGATGCAATGGTGTTCCCTGGCTTTCTCTCTGAGAGAGAACAGCCCCTACCCCTGTCTCGGATGCATCAACCTCCAATATAAAAGGTTTACTGGTGTCAGGATGTTTTAGTATGTCCGCAGAGGCAAATCTTTGTTTAAGAGTCTCAAAAGCATTCACAGCCTCTTTGGACCATACCGTGCTACTAACCCCTTTGCGAGTCATATTTGTGATTGGGGCTATTACAGAAGAAAATCCCTTGATGAATCTTCTGTAATAGTTGGCAAAACCAATAAACCTTTGAATGGCTTTTAAACCAGAGGGTAATGGCCAGTGTAGTACAGCCTCTAGTTTTTTAGGATCCATTTGAAATCCCGATGCAGAGATGTTGTAACCCAAAAAGTGGACTTCAGGCTGGTCAAATATGCACTTTTCTAATTTACAATAAAGTTTATTTTTCAACAACGTCTGCAGAACCTGTTTCACATGGGAGTGGTGAGTTTGAAGATCAGGGGAATACACCAAAATATCGTCCAAATAAACCAAGACAAATGAGTAAATGAATTCCCTGAGTACATCATTTATAAAGTCTTGGAATACGGCCGGGGCGTTGCATAACCCAAATGGCATTACCAGATATTCATAGTGTCCACTACGGGTATTAAATGCCGTCTTCCACTCATGATTCTCTTTAATTCTAACCAAATTGTAAGCGCTCCTAAGGTCAAGCTTAGTAAATACTTTAGCTCCCTGAAGTCTATCGAACAATTCGGAAATGAGTGGAATAGGGTATGCATTTTTTACAGTGATTTTATTAAGTGCCCTGTAGTCTATGCAAGGGCGTAACTCACCACCCTTTTTCTCAACAAAAAAGAATCCTGCACCAGCTGGTGAGGATGACTTTCTTATGTGCCCTTTGCTCAAGGATTCTTTGATGTATTCCTCCATTATTTTACTCTCCTGGGGAGATAAGGCATAAACTGCCCCCTTAGGTGGCATAGCGCCTGGAAACAGGTTAATGGCACAGTCATATGCTCTGTGGGGAGGCAATACATCGGATTGAGCCTTGTTAAACACCTCCTGAAGTTCTCGGTATTGTATGGGAACTCCAGGAGTTTGGGGAGTGGTAGTGGGAAGGTCAATAGTATCCAATCTCTTTAGTACTGGTTTTATACATCTCCCCATACACTCTTTACCCCATTCTAATATCTCCCCATTAGCCCAGTCAATATAGGGATTGTGCTTACTCAGCCACGGAAACCCTAATATGATAGGACATGATGGAGAAGTAATAACCTGAAACGTCATCTCCTCCCTATGGGAGGCCCCAATGGAGATCGTAATAGGGACAGTTTCGTGGGTTATAAGCGGTTGTGTGAGTGGTCTACCATCAATAGCCTCTACAGCTAGCGGCGTAGGTCTCT